ACACACACACACACACACACACACACACACACACACACACACACACACACACTTCTTGCTGTCTAACCCAGAAATCCTGTCAGGTTTCAAAAAGTAGTCTTCCATAATAACCTGAATATCGAGTTGTCCTATTATTCCCAATAACTACAAATAAAATTCCGAGCTGATGAGAAAACAGAGACTGTATTCCACAAGTGGTGATATTATTCGTCTGGGATGACATGGAATTTTGCATGAGGTAGTGTAGAATTTAAACAGACAGAAGCTTCAACAGCAGGAAAGTAATCAATTTGTGGAGTGAATGATAGAGTTGAGATCCTGCAATGGCAGGACTGACCACCATAACAATTATTTACACTAATAATGGTGGCAACAAGTGTTTCTTATTCTAATCAGTGCCAAAAGTGAATTACAATGTTGACCATAAGAAGTGTTAAAATGATAAAGGCACAGCAGCTTTGCGCTTGACTGGATAACTGGATGTTGTAGAGAAAGTAAACTACAACCCTATACAGGGTCCCCAGAGGCTCCACTAGGTCATCTACAAGCCTGTCGATCGCTGTAACCAGGAGCCTTGAGACACCTGACCCTGTAGTCAAAGCAACATAGTGTTTATAGCACAGTCCTGAGTTTGAGAACTGGCTTAGGTGCCATATATGGCTCATTTTGTGTATCTGAAAATCATGAGTAATAATGACGATGAGAGGAACAGCTAGCATCTTCCAGATATAGATCAAAAACTTCATAGTATTTGGACCATTGACAAAGTGTGAGTTTCTAAGATTAATTAGTATAGGTGCAGATACCTTTTAGGGATGACACATAAACTCTGGTTTGCTGATTTAGAAGATTCATTTGACTTCTCAGGAGGCATTTCCTTAGTATACTAGAAGAATGACTTTGTTTGGTTTAATGAAAACAAATTGAATGCCTTAAAAATATAACTAATTTTTTTCTATAGAAAATATTTTTCTAACGGTATTTGAGAAATCACTAATCACATCTATCTTCTACTTATAAATGTGTTTTCTAACCTTGGGGAGGAATAAAGAAACTGATAAAAATTCCCAGCATGTGGTGATCACCCAAACAGTAGGAGGAGTTACGTTATTTTTACAATATATCATTTGCTGGTGTCACCACAGAAGAAAGCACAACGTGAATCTTTAAAACTCTGTCTCATTGTATACACAGATGATATAATATTCTGCTGAGCTTTTAGCTTTACATCTGCTGCTTAGAAAACCCATTGACCTTGTAATTTGTCTGTCACTATGAATAAATTTATAGAATATTCATACTAAGCCATAAAACCTGAGCTTGTGTAGATGAACCATTTTAGAGTTTTCTTTCTCAGATATATCCCAAATTTCCTCAGTAATATCATACAATTGTTGACCAAACATCCATCTTATCATGTCATTCTCCTTTCAAATCTTACAGAGATGAAATAGCATCAGGCAGGAGAGAAACATCTCGATGCATTTCTCACACTGCTCTTTGTACCTCTCCATGCATCATACAAACACCCTACACTGCTGTGCTCTGGTAATACCTAAGTGATTGGAGTTTCCTAGCACAGTGGTAGCATTGTGCATCAATGCTTCTCTACATGCAGTGTTATTTTCCCTTTCTCAACTCTGTTCTTTCTTATTCCCATTATGCTCAGGTTCTATGTTCACAGAGATCTGCAGTCCATACCTTCTTGATTTTTTAAATGAAATATCTGCACTGTATGTAGTATTTGGTGTATTAATAAATGTCTGTTGATCAAGTAAATCAACATTATCTCCATGTAAATGTAGTAAGATGTTTTTCATTTCTTATCATTTTAACACAATTCCTAGAACAAATTCACATGGAAATTACTGTCTAGATTTTGTATTTTATTCAAAAGTCTAACAGGCTTTGTCTGAGGCATTGCATGCACTCTCCTATTTAACATATTCTCATTTTAATAACTGTAAATTAGGTTCAAAGAGAGTATTTCTTGTCTTTTTAGTGAGATCGATGCTCACAATTCTGGGGCAACATAAATTATATACACAAAAACTGTCAAAACTAAAATGATATGAAAATGTTTATTAATTATCTTAACCTTACAGCTAGGTCCAAATAAAGCAGCTAATTTAAATAGTTGCTTGTACCTATATATCATTTTCCATTAAAAAACAATGTGACCTTTTAACATGGAAGCATAAAATCATATTCAGTCATAAGCAGTAAAATATTATTTACATGATTTTGTGTACTATGATTGTATCAATCATTTAACTGGGTATCAAAAGAACATGGCTTACTTTTGTTGAGACTTAAAAATAATTTTAACTTTCTTAAAACACCTCTTGAATTACAGATATGTTACTTTACAATCAGTACTGAGAGAAACTAATTATTGGGTTTTGAAATAATCTTTTTTTAAGCAGTGAGGGGAAGCAAGATGCCCAGAGTTAGTGGAGGGTAAAGAAGTGAAGGGAATATATTCCACTTATATAACTATTATCTGAGTAGATCAGGAAATTTCTGCAGATTGACTGTATCAGAATTCTTGCAGTACATTTTGCAATATCTCTGAAGCTCTCTTCTCAGTCACAAGCTATTTTGTGGTCGTGATGACAGGACACTTAATTGGTTGAAAGTAGAACCATACTGAAATAGTGCTATTTGCAGTCATTCTTAGTATGGAGGATGATATTTTCTAAGACTCTATCCTCAATCATATCTAGTCATACTCTTCATATTAGATTGGATGAAAAGGTCCATTAACTTTGGTTTTTGATCCAACTTTTAACCTTAAATTGGATTGGCAAACAATATATATAACTGCAGATATTAAGTGGACAAATGGAGATTTTAGTGCACTGTGCTTCTGGTAGCAATCAACAACAGTAGTGGATCCCAAAATAGCAAATAAACTCTTGTATTTAGTGACCACTCCAGACTACTTATCATGTCCTAAGAACACATACTTTAAAAATATATTGACATCTTGGGTCATACCTAAGAATAGTGATCAAATGAGAAAAAATTGATAACTTAGAGCCAAAAGCAGAATAACTGACATCTTTCCCTAAGTTGAATACAGTTATGAGAACAAAGGAGAATTCCTGTGATGTGGCTGGACTAAAAACAAATAATGAAGGATGCAAAAGCAATGTGCAGAATGCACAAGTCTATGTGTTTGCATGTGTGCATCCCCACCCCCACACACAATCAGTCAAACATCCATCCTCTAGCAATCAGAGCACTTCAAAGGTAAGATGTGCTTTCCCAAGAATTGAGAATCTCTAGTGCTGGTGAGACATGACACGTGACAGAAACTACATTGTATAATTATTTCAAGAATATTATAGACAAAATTTAAATATTTCAAGTAGAAGATAGAAGAGTTTGATTAAATGACCTGTGTGGATCCTTCAGGCTTGGAGAATCATATTGGTGTAAATACCAGGTATAAAAAAAAATAAGAAAAATGCTAATCATAGTAGCAATCATGGAAGTGTTCCTCATAGCTGTGACATACTATATGCTAGTCATTTCACAGTCTCTGTAACGAATGTAAAGTCAGAGTCATTGTTAAGTATAATTCATAGACATAAGAAGGTTTTGGAAGCTATCTGACTTTCCCTGGAACACATTGAAACAGTGAGTCAGGATTTAAACACAGGAAGCCATGACTCAGTCAGAACAATCAAGCTGAATTGGTGAACCCAAGATGCACAGGGCAATTACAGAAAATCAAAGCCTGTTCAAGAAGCAAGTTGCCATTGGCTTCAACTAGGAAGAAATTCTTACCGGTAATCGGTTGTATACACTGGTCTTGTCTCTGCTGTCTATTCTTTGACAAAGGCAAAAGGAGTCTTAACAAATGAAAATGAGCAAGTTATATACCTGGATAAATTTTATCTCATTGACAAGTCCTTTAACATAAGTATCTTAAGAGGACTTAAGCAAATTAAGAGGGCTTAATTGTAACTCAGTTGGTAGAGTACTTGCCTAGCATGCATACATTCAGTCCTCAGCCTTACCAAATCTAGGAGTGGAGGAACATGCATGTAATCCTAGCACTGGGGAGTTGGTAGATGGAGGATCACAAGTTCAAGGTCGCCCTCTATTACATAGGGAGTTTGAGGCCAGGATGAATTATGTGAGATATTGTTGAAAGAAGTTAAAGGAGAGGACAGAAGGGAGGTGGGTGATGAAGGAAACAAGGAATAAAAAGAGGGAGAAAAGGATAGTGTGGATGAAGTTTGAAAACAGGAATGATGTGGACACAGATGGAAGGTTTTCCCCAAAAATCTTAGCTTGTATTTCCAAATAAACAGGGTGACAATTTGCCTGCCTCCCCTACTCTTCTAATGCTCAAAGAGGGGATGTCACATTATTAACCCATCAAATTCCATCTGACATATAACTGCTATTGGCAAATATTGCTATTTTTTGATACTAAAGCAAATAGGGGAAATACATTTGCATTTCCTACAAGCTATTACACTGTTGAACAATAATATTTAAGGGTACATATGCAGTCAGCATGACTTACGAAACATTTTCTGTTCTAAAAATGTAAAAACAAAGAAACATAATGTATTCCCAACTCATAACATGCACACATGCATCCATACATGTACACTGTGATGGCTAGGTTTTATGTCCATGTGACACAGGCCAAAGTCATTTTGAAAAGGGAACCAACTGAGAAAATGCCCCCACCAGACTGGCTTGGAGGGTGGTTTGTAGGGCCCTTTCTTGATTCATGATCGATGTGGGAGGGCGCAGCTCACTGTAGGTGGTGCCACCCATAGGTGACAGGTCCTAGATAGTACTGAATGATATAAGAAAGAAGACTAAGCAAAACATGGGGAGCCAGACATTTAGCAGCTTTCTTTGCTGGTTTCTGCTCTAGGTTCCTACCCTGACTTTCCTTAGTTATGGACTTAAAATTATAAGATGATATAAGCCCTTTCCTCCCCAATCCTTCAGCAATAGTGCTTTATCACCAAAATAGTGAACACAAACACACACACACACACACACACACACACACACACACACACACAAAATAAATGAATGAATGAATGAATGAATGAATGAATGAATATAAATAAATTAGGACCTGAATTCAGTGCCAACAACTAGATCAGGCAGCTCACAGAAGTCTGTAACTCCCAATCCAGGAGATCTGAAAAACCTCATCTGTTCTCCAAGGAAACTTGTACACATGTGTATATACACTGCCCCCACAAAAGCACATTCCCCACACAGAAACACATGAATGTACTCATACCCCATCAGAAACACATGCATATGCATGGATAAAAATAATAAATATAAATCTTGCAAAAAGGAAAGAGGACTATGAAAGACTGAAGAAAGTACTTCTAGTGCAGATCTGAAGAAGAAAGTACTTATAAATGAAATCGTTCAGGCCAAGAAAATTAAATAAGTAAATTTCTAAAGAATCAAAAACACATAAATAATTTTTAAAGGTAAGAAAAAAAAGACACAGACATTGACTGCAGAATCAAACAGAGTAAATTCCTAGGCTTTATGTTCTCATATCATCCTTGACAAACTTTGCTGCTATTTAATGTGAAATTTTGCACATCCCAGTGGAGTATCTGCTCTTAGTCTGTATCACTCATAGTCCCCAAAAGAATTTTGCCAATCCTTTGTAGCTCAGTGATGACTATTATGACTCACAATTAAATCAAACATAAAGGAAGATATACACTGGCATTTTATGTGTTGAGATGAAATAAATTTAGTTCATTTTAAGGGCCTTAGTACTAAAAAAAGTTGAACACTGCCCAGAAGATACTTGATACAAAAAAATGTAAACTATATAAAGGTCTAAAGCATACATATATCCCCTCCTCTCCCTATAAGCAAATGCAAACTTGTTCGAAATCATACACTTTCTATGCTATGAAATTTCCATGCTATGAAACATATCTACTCCAAACACTTTTGAATGAGTGGAAAATCCCACTAGGTCATAAATTTTGATCGTTCATGCTACCATGACAACTAACTGCTATGAGATGTTCCTCCCTGTGTCTGACCAAACAGGTTTTAATTGGCCATCTTCCAGACACTCCCTGATGAGACAGGACTGATCATACTCAAGTCAGAACTTGGAAAGCTTACCCACGAGAAGTTGCTCACGAGAAACTATTATTTGACATTGGCCACAGTTAGGTGAGAATGGCCGGGAATAGTCTATAGGAAAGGCTGTCATGAACTTCTACACATAAATGAAACCAGAACTGTTCCATGGACTCATTAAAAAGAAATCTTGTTTGTTGGGCACTAGAAAGCCTGAGTGTTCATGGTAATCCCAAAGAGAAAAGAAACTTCAACATCAGAGCCCCTGGAAGCAAAGAGAAATGGAAGTCTCTCAAAAGACAAGGATTCAAAACTTGCTTTTTAAAAAACAGATGAATTGCTTATTTTTATAAACAAAGTGTGTCCACTTGACTCTGAGCTTTTTCCTTCAGCTTCTTGAGTTCTGTTCATTTATCTCTGGAGTATGTATCATCTTTTCTAGAATATGGATCCATCTTCTCTGTGTCATGATTTGTTCTATCTGTCCATAGGTTTGGGCTTATTACCACTTTTACCAGAGAGCTTTTTTGACTTTGCTCCCATTTTCAGAGTCTAGGTTGATGTTCTTCCATGATCTCTTGACTGTGTGACATTTTATTTGTGATGAAATATGATATTTTATTTGTATGTTAATAAATAAAGTTTGCCTGGAGATCAGAAGTCAGTGAGCCATAAACAGAAGTCAGGTGGTGGTAGCCCACGCCCTTAATCCAATCACATGGCAGGCAGAGTCTCTGTGTGGTCAAGGACACAACCAAGCGTAGTGACACAAGCCTTTAATCCCAGTACCAACCATAGAGACCTGGAGGTCTGTATAGACAGGCAGTGACAGGGAAGTCATGTGGTTGGGCTTAGAGCCAATGAGAAGGCAGAACAGGAAGGCAATAAAAATATGGGTTAGATGGGAAGGAGCTTTCTCTGTTGAAGCTACTGCTGAGGCTAGTGGTGACTATTGCTCTAATCTCTTCGGCTATTACCACTGTATTTGGCTCTATGTTTCTTATTTAATAAGACTGTTTAGAAATTTGTATACACTGGACAGCCTCCATCAAAGCACCCTAGCCATGCTTATTTAAGGGATTTTCTATATCCCTTATTGTACCATGACTTAGAATAGCAGAGACTGGGTCCAATTTGTTCAATCTTGAATCTCCATTCCTAAAACCAGCTCTCCACATAGGGAGTAGCCTTAAACATTAAAGAGCAAATAAGTTGATGGAAAATACTTGCGTTAGTCAAGAAATAACCATCCATTGTTTTGTAAATGAAAATTCATACTTCCATGTTTCCATTAAGTACTAGGTTCCAGGGTTTACTGATTAAGCACATTAAAAACACAACTTTATTTGCCTTTGCAGTAGCAACAGAGGAGATTTGGAGAGTTAGGAAAAGCTCCCACCAAGACAGAACTAATAACACTGAAAGATGGCATTTGGACTTAGGTGCATGGTTTTCCCTTGTCTAGGATTTTATAGCACTTGTTCAGCAGTTTTGTTAGGTTTTGGACCCACTGACACAACTGAGCTATTAATGAGAACTTACTGCTCTTGAGTTAAGAATACCTCCTATGATGGTAGTCCAGCAGTCATTATTGTCTTTCTTTCATCGACACATTAGATTTATCATTACATAATTACAAATATTTTTGCAAAACCATGTCACAGCCTTACCAGTGTAAAGGTAAGGGGACAGTGGAGGAATTAATAGGTATAAACTCCTGTGCATTGCAACTTAGTTCGTGATTGAATTGCACGGATCAGTTGAGGACCAGATTCTGAGCAGCACTTATGTAGTGTTTGTGAAAGTGCTAGTTGAAGCAGTGGAGTTGCAACCAATCCTGACTCACACTGTTTCATTCACAGCCACAGTCCGGTGGAGGTGGATGTAATTGCTCTTCTTGTGGCAGGATCAGGTATGTCACCCGATGGAGCACCCCAGCTAGAGGTTGTGGACCTAGGGCAGCAAAGGTCAATGGCTCATCTGCCAGCTGTTGCCAGGCAGTCAGCGATAGCAGGAGCCTTGGACTCTGATTACTCACTTGGCTTGGTGGGGAGTATTGGAAACAGAACTTTTTTGTTGTCTTCACAAAGAAATCCATTCCGAGGATCGTCATGGAGATACTAAAGAAGAGTTTGGGTGTCTGGGTTTTCGAAGAAATAGAATCTTCTGGGATTGATGAAGTGGGCTGGGGAATGATTAATAAGCAAAGGGCCAGGGGAACCTTAGCGGAAAGTCTCCTTGTTCTAATCCTGGGGAGTTAGGTACTTAGAATGTGCAAAAGTCTGCTGTCCAATAGCCTCTAATCCGGTTATTGAAATCCTGAAATACGGCTTGTCTTCAGTAAAATGTACTTCAAATGTGAAATAAATGTTGGGGCCGAAAGGGTAATATGAAAAGAGGAGAAAAGGGGTTTCATGGATAACTGAGATGTTGATTATACATGTTGAAATAATACTTTCAGATATAAAGGATCAAATGAAATATATTATCAAAATCAATTTCATGTTTTTTTTTACTTTTAAAATGTGACTTCTAGAAATTTTAAATCTATGTATACAGCTTTCCTGTGTGGCTCTTTTTTTTAGTTTGTCTTGATTAACATGCATATATTATATGTACCAATGGGCCTCAGTGTGATAATTCAACATATACATACAGCATTCCCAGGTTTAATATCTTTATTAACTCTTTAACCATTTAGTCTTACTCTCCAATAGCCATCATCATATAGTCTCATGAATTTTTCTAAAATTTGTATTGTACATAAAGCAGTGTTTTATAGCATAGTGACATATATTTTCTTTTAATATTTCAAGTGCATCTTTAATTTTTTATATCTAAGAAAATTGTAGAGCCTAAATTTGTGACTAGATTACAAATAAATTAAAAATCTTTTAAAATCCTTAATTTTTAGTTTATACTTAGCACATAATAATGGTACACAATACAGCATACATTGTATTCATTTTGGATTAGCATACAATTGTGTCATATTATCCAGGATAATTATTATTCCTGTCACCTCAAGTACTTATTCCTTTCTGTTGTAAATTTTAAAATTAATATTTAACACTACATAAAATATTTATTATAGCTTTTATTATTCAATTTAACAAGTAAAAATTCATCACAGCAATTTGTGACTAGAGTAACAATCATTCCCACTGTTTTCTCTCTTTTTTTTCTCCCGGAGCTGAGGACCGAACCCAGGGCCTTGTGCTTGCTAAGCAGGCGCTCTACCACTAAGCTAAATCCCCAACCCTCCAACAGTTTTCTCATGAGAAACTCATATCCACAGATACATATGTCCAACAAAACCAGTCAGAACCAGTCCTGTAAGTGCATTGAGGTATTTTGAGCTTGAAATATACACAAAGATCACATATTGCTAATATGCTTAAATTCCAATATTATGATCTTAACGTTTTTGGGATTGCTTTGTTTTGTTTTGATTTAAGTTCTTCTATTTCCAGGCTCTTTTGGAAACCAAATGTTCCCTAGATATTTTAAGAGATTCAGTGATGGGCTTGTTTAAGAATAAAATAAAATGAGAAACAGACAAGAGCAAGATGTCATCACCGCTGCCAGTGCTAATGGGACAAGAGAATCAAGTGCTTTGACTGTTGTAGAATATTAATTGAAGATGTGTTACATTTGTTTCTGATGTGGAATATAGGTTTAAATTATAAAGTGAAAACAATCTACATATTAAGAACAGGTGTCCTCTGAGTTACCTGTGCCTGCAACACCAGACAGGAAGGTAGCAGAGATGGACCCTGACTTTCTATCTTATTGACTCTGCTCTGCTGGAGGACCACTATAATGTGCAAGGAATTAAAGAAGATAGAGAGTAAATGGGATAATGGGATATAGTAGAAAATAATTAATATACTCATGGTACACTCTTTACCCAGGATTGTTATATGTAAGGTCTAAATAGGCATAGTAAGAAACAGAAAAAAACTAAGTGACATGGTGTAATCTAACAGAGGTGTAGTCTTTTCCACAACAGATGCCACATAAGCATGACAGCTTCAATGTGGAATAGGTACACGCCGAAAATGGAAATTCATGATAGTAAAAGGTTACATGAAGTAAAAGAGGAAACAATATATAGAGAGATACCAGAACTCAAGTTATTCTTTTAATTTGGAAAGAAAAACTATAATATATTGCAAAGAACAAGAATTAAATTAGAAAACATTGAGATCTCATTTGGAGAAATGGTTAAATGAATAATGTGCTTTCTACAGCAGTGCAAGGCATGTGATTCTGGATGCCCAGCACCCATATAACAGCCAGGTCTATGATCATGTCACTGAAAGTAGAAACAGAGGTTAATTATCTAGTCAGTCTAACTGTAATGGCAAGTTCCAGCATCAGTGGGAGACTTTGTTTCTAAGGAATAGAATAAGGAGCAAAAGAGGAAGATATCCATGCCAACCATTAACCAACTGCTCACACAAATGAGTGCATCAGGCATATGTGCATATGCCTGCATATATCACACACAAGAATATGTCTTTAATCACACACACACACACACACACACACACACACACACACACACACACACACACACTCACATGTGCACAGTTTTAATTGAAGTGTTTAAGGTTGATTTTTGATCATAATAATTTGTATTTAGTTAAAATTATTAATTTGAAATCTCATTTATTAATATATCATGGATATATTTTTCAGTGTTTCCTCACACATTGTACTCTATATAACCTAGTCATTATAGACAAGTGAAATAGACTTAGAAAAATACGTGCATAAGATTGAGTTTGACATGAGCCTCTGAATGTTTTTCATGACTTGACCTTAATAATTTTCCTTTCCATTCTTATCTCCTAGATAGGATTTACTCAAGACTAAGGCTAAATTCCAACTCTGGAAAACCTTCTTTAACTCTCTCATGCCTAGATATGTCCTCCAACATATACTTGTGAGACCAGAACCATAGAATAACTCATGCCATTGGTAGTTGTACTAAAATGACAATAAGAGAAGTGAGTGAATGACACTGTTTGCCCCTGTTTTTGATTAAGATGGTGTTATTGTTATTAGATGTATAAAATTATTGATACATATCAGTGGCACTGTAATTCTGTGGTATTGTAGCAGTAAGATAATATTAATTCCATACTGATACGACAGAGAGATGAGGGAGCCAATAACCCATTTTAGAAAAATTCTTAGCATAATGGGATGTAATAATCCATACTTTGTGAGAAGGTCAATATGTTCATGCTGTTTTTTAATACACAGACAAATATGCCCTTGAAACATTGTATTGTTTCTGTAAATATCAGGTAGTTAGTATATTTTGTATATATTCACTAATTTAAAGTGAAAGCACAAACTTCTGATGAGATAAGAGTTTTGAAATGTGACAATGATATATAACTGGACAAATGTACTCAATGAATAAATTATGAATCTCAATAATTCTGATTTTTTTTACAAACATAGGATTCAATATAGCCAACTAAGAGCTAAAACTCTCAGCATATGAGTTCCAAATTAGTGTGTCTTTAGTTGTTCTGTGCTAGAATGATTTGATTTGATTTGACTCTTTATGTTAGTGCTATTATTGCTATTAAATTACTATACAGCCAGGCAGTGGTGGTGCACGCCTTTAATCCCCGCATGCAGGAGGCAGAGGCTGGCAGATCCCTGTGAGTTCAAGGTTAGCCTGGGCTGCAGAGGGAGTTCCAGGATATGTGCCAAAGCTACACAGAGAAACCCTGTCTCGAAAGCAACAACATCAAAAATTTACTATACAAAGTAATGGGTTTTCATATGGGATTTTCATACACATTTTGTTTCTGGTGACCATCTTCCCCAACTGCAGCCAATTTCCATCCTCTATCACTAACTCCCCATCTGCTTTCATATCATAAATATTCTGTTAGACTCTTTTCTTCTTCTCTTTTAATGTGGTTTCAGCTATGCAGGCTTACTGTCCTCTCCCCTATTCCAATGATCTATACGTCTACTTTTGTACCGATATTGTTCTGTTTTAGTCACTATGGTTCTTCTGTAGGATAAATATGTTTATTATTATTTTGAGTTTTAATATAATTACATCATTTTCCTTTTCCCCTTTCTCCCTCCAAATCCTCCCATGAACTGACACTGGCTTTCTTTCAAATTCATGGACTTTTTCACTTTGTTTACATACGTGTTCATATATATTGTGCCATATATTGTGATACATAAATGAAATATATAAATATATAGTATGTAGATGTATAATTTATGTATATATGATATAGAAATACACTTGTACAGTATATAAGTACAACCTGTTCAGACCACATAGTGTATATGCTTTTAAGACTGACCATTTGGTTGGTTAACTAGTTGACATGCTCTTCCCTGGGGTAGACAATTTCTCTTTCCCTCAGCATTCCTTACTTGCCTTTAGTTCTTTGTGTAGAGTTGTGGCCTCCTGAGCTTTCCTCCTTCCACACTATCAGTAAATCTCTAGGTGTTTACCCTGTCCAGATCATGTTGAAGTAGCCTTATTGGTGAGTCTTCAGGGTTATAGCTCCTGACGTTCCTAGGAGACACAATCGCACATCAAACTCCCTGTCCCTTTGGCTCCTACAATCATTGTGGATTGTAGGAGCCCCCTCTTCCACAATGATCCCTGTGCTTTAGACAATTGTAGATTATATTGTGCTTTCTGCTTAGAATTGTCCTGGCTTAGTCAAGGACACCACAAGAAAACCCACAAAATAGACTAACCTAGGCTCATAGGGGCTCACAGAGACTGAACTGACAACCAGGGAGCCTGCATGACACTGACCTAGGCCCTCTGCATATATGTTACAGTTGTGCAGCTTGGTCTTCTTGTGAGACTCCTAACAGTGGGAAAAGGGACTGTCTCTGATTTTTTTTCCAGCATTTGGGACCCTATTCCTCTTATCGGGTTGCCTTTTCCAGTCTAATAGGAATAAAGGTGCCTAATCTTACTGCAACTTGATATGCCATATCTGGTTGATATCCATGGGAGGCCTGCCCTTTTCTGAATA